ATATTGTTATTTATAAGATTTGTATTTTCTTTTTATTTATCTTAAAAATTAAAAATATTTTATAAAATTTATATTTTCTTTTTATTTATCTTAAAAATTTGAAATATTATAATAAAATTAATGTTTTAATTTTTATCAATAAGGCTCAACATATATTTAATAATTATAAATATATGTGATTGTTTAAAAATATTCTAAAAATATTAAGAATTTTTTTAAACATTTATTTGAATTGTTCGATGCGTAAGTGTCTTAAAAATGTCAGAATTTGTTTCTAAAAATGATAAAAAAAGATAAAATCTATTTGTTTAGGATATTTATTTGACTTTATTGACATTTATTTGATTTTTATAAGTGTTACAAAGATACATATCGAACACTTCAACACACTAATTCTAGAAGTGTTTGTGATCTATCTATTTTAAAATGATTATCGTTTAAAATTCTTGCACACAGATTAAAAAATATAATAATATTGTTATAAAATATTATTATACTTTTATTAAATTAACCTTATTAAAATATTAAAAATAATATACAAAGTAATAATTAAATAACAAAATTGAAAAAAAATAGTAATCATTATTGCAAAAAAAATAGAATAAACAATTATTTTAAAATAAATTTTACTATTTAATAAAACACCAATCGTTTTGAAATGAAGAGAATAGATCTTTAAGTATTTCTTATTTATATATATATATATATATATATATATATATATATATATATATATATATATATATATATATATATATATATATATATATATATATATATATATATATATATATATATATATATATATATATATATATATATATATATATATATATATATATATATATATATATATATATATATATATATATATATATATATATATATATATATATATATATAAAAGTGAAATTAATAACAAAAAATATTTAATTCTTGTTGGTAGTGGTGTTCTGTTGTAAGATGTCAACGACAATATAAGTAGAAGAGTATTATCGACTCACACTTGAAAGAGAGTGTCAGAATAATAATACAAGTGTAAGTAAGTGAAGAAATAGTTTCACATTAGATAGAAATATGGTGACTTGAATATTTATAGGTGAGAGAACCCACTCACCTATCACCTTAAAGTTTTAAGGTGTGCAGTCCTACATTATGTATCAATGTTCTCTAGTAAACTTCCCCTACAATGTTCTCTAGTAAACTCCCCCTAATAAATGGTAGCATGAACCTTTGTTCGAGAAAAATATCTCGTTGCAAGGTGTCAACGGTGGTACAAGTGTCTTGAAGGAGAGTATTGTGGACTCACACTTGAGAGAGAGTGTTGGAATAATATAACAAGTGTGAGAAGTGGGGAAATAGTCTCACATTAAATAGGAATATGGAGACTTAATATATATAAATGAGAACACACACCTATCACTTTAAGATTTTAAGTGAATAAATAATATATTTCTCACAAAAATATTAATTTCTACACTATCGATGCTCTTAATAACTCCTCCCAACACTTCTTACATATAATGAATACATCGTAGATCTTTTTGCCAAACCAATAAGTGAAAAGCCAATCCACAATATTCCCTCTAGTTGTTGGTTCTTAACTTTTCAAAGACGGTCCTAACATATTTTATGATTCCCATGTGGTTGCTGTCTTTATGAAATTAATATATGATTAAAATTGTGAAAGTGCCAAAACAAATTGTACACAAATTCATTAGGTAAATGAAATAAACTTTTCATGTATGTTTTTAATGGATGATTGTGGTTGTAGGGAATGTGTTGACAGCAACAACACATGTTATCACAGTGGTGGTGGGTGCAGGAGTATTGGCTCTAGCATGGGCAATTTCTCAACTTGGATGGATAGCTGGCATAACCATTATGATCATATTTTCATCTGTTTCTCTTTACACTTACAATTTTGTAGCTGATTGTTATAGATATCCAGATCCCGTCAATGGCAAAAGAAACTACACTTACATGCAAGCTGTGCATGCATACTTAGGTATCATAAACTCATCAAATTTCCATCTATATTAAAATTTTGTCATTGCTAATATCATGGTTAATTTATTTCAAATGTTTTAGGTGGAAAAATGTACATGCTTTGTGGATTGATCTTGTATGGAAATATTGTAGGTGTTACGGTGGGCTATATTATAACTTCCTCTACAAGCATGGTGTATGTTACAATACCATCACATATATAACAAACAAAATTTTACTTTAGATTATTACTCTCGCGGGTCATATTTATAAGCGAAAATTTATTTTTTAAATTTATTGATTATTGAATAATTAATATATCTAGATAATATAATAGATCAAATATATTGATTATTCAATAAATTTAAAAAATAAGTTTTTCTTTTAAAAAAAATCGGAGAATATTATTATGTGTAGTAGTTAAAAAAGAGATGACATACCCTGAATTCATTTCTTTGTATGACAGAGCTATAAAGAAAGTAATTTGCTTCCACAGAAATGGACATGAAGCTTATTGCAAGTTTTCAAATAATCCTTATATAATTGGTTTTGGGGTCCTTCAAATTTTTTTGTCTCAAATCCCAAATTTCCATAAGCTAACTTTTCTATCAACTCTTGCTGCTATTACTTCTTTTTGCTATGCATTAATTGGAAGTGGGCTCTCTCTCATTGCTGTCGTCTCAGGTTTAACCTTCTTTATCCAAATATCTGTAATATATATATAAGTAAAATATATTAATCATTTAATAAATTAAAAAAATAAAATATATTTATAATTTGTTACAGAGGGAGAGTATTTTGTTACTCAATCATTTTATTTGGTGGTAAATAGGAAAAGGAGAACCAACAAGTTGGTTTGGAGTTAAAGTAGGAGCAGAATTATCAAGAGAAGATAAAGTTTGGAATATTTTAACTGCTTTAGGAAACATTGCACTTGCGTCGACTTATTCCGGTGTTATTTATGATATAATGGTACAAACACATAACTTACTAATTAAGTCACAAAAATTATTATTGAATAATGCTAAGAATACATTCTCCATGATACATTTAAAACATTTTTCTGTATGTATATGTTTTATTTAGGATACATTAAAGTCATATCCACCAGAAAACAGACAAATGAAAAAAGCAAATGTGTTAGGGATCACAACAGTGACAATACTTTTTATCCTATGTGCTTCACTTGGTTATGCCGCATTTGGTGATCACACTCCAGGAAACATCCTCACCGGCTTTGGATTTTATGAGCCTTTCTGGTTGGTTGCGTTAGGGAATGTTTGCATTATAATTCACATGGTGGGAGCATATCAGGTAAATGATTTCCTCTTACTTTTATCTGAGATATCAACTCAGTCATAAGAGTTTGACTTTGTAACCTCAAGAGGCTATGGTTTAAAACTTATTTAAAATAAAATTCTAGGTTAAAATTATTTATATATATTAGATATTAGTTATATGATTTAATGATGGTGTGACAAGAGATATTTATAATATGATGCAGGTGTTAGCTCAACCATTATTTCGTATAATTGAGATGGGCGCAAATATAAAGTGGCCTCACTCAACTTTTATAAATAAGGAATATGCAAACAAAATTGGCTCCTTCAAATTAAACATCAACTTATTTAGGTTAATTTGGAGAACAATATATGTTATAATGGTCACAATTATGGCCATGGCGATGCCGTTTTTCAACGAGTTTCTTTCTTTACTTGGAGCATTTGGGTTTTGGCCACTCGTCATCTTCTTCCCAATACAAATGCATATTTCTCAGAGAAAGATTACCAAATTTTCATTGAAGTGGTGTGCGCTCCAAGTTTTGAGTTTTGTATGTTTTATGATTTCAGCAAGTGCTGGAATTGGTGCCATTCATGGAATTAGCAAGAATATCAAAAAATACAAACTCTTCATGTATAAGCAGTAATATATTTAAAATTTATCGCACAAATAAAATGTAGTGATGTTATGCTAAGAATAAAAACTAGCAAACACATTGTTGAAATATTAAATTAGATTTGTTAAAATATTATATTAGATTTGATTTGATTAGATTTAATATTTAAATATAATCTAAATTGTGTTAGCCTAAACTCAATTAGGGTTGTATATAAATAGTTATAGTGTGTATTATTATTTGTACAATTCAATAATATAAATCCTTATTTCCTTTATTATTCTCTCTTTCTCTTCTCACTAAAAGTGTCTCACGCACTAACAAATTGGTATCAGAGCTTTCAGTTATTGTTCTTGATCAAAATTTTAAGTTCACGTCAGAGATCGTGTTTCTAGGACAAGTGAATCAACCGCTGCGAAGATGGCTAGTGATAAGGGCATTCCGAATTCTCTTCCAATGCTTGACGGTAAAAATTGGATCTGATGAAAAAAAACAGATGCAATCCTTATTTGGCTTCCATGAAACCCTAGAAGTGGTTATCGACGGCGTTCCTTCGTTGGCTGCAAATGCAACCGACGAACAAAAAAAAAGCCCACAACGAAGTCAAGAAGAAAGATTATAACGCTTCTTATTGTATTCAAACGGTTGTCGATGCAACTAACTTCGACAGAATCTCTAATGCTGAAACGACGAAGGAGGCATAGGATATTCTGGTAAAGTATTTCGAAGGAGGTGAGAAAGTCAAGGTTGTTAAATTACAAACCTTGCATCGACAATATGAGTTGTTATCGATGAGAGAAGATGAAAAAGTTGCAGAATATGTGTCGAAGGTTCAGAAACTCGTCCATCTCATGAAGGATTGTGGTGAAACCATTACTGATAAGATGATAGTTGAGAAGGTAATGAGAACGTTGACCTCTCACTTTGATCACGTTACCGTAGCTATTCAAGAATCCAACAATCTTGAAACCACTAAAGTGGAAGATTTGGTTGGTTTGTTGGAGGCTCATGAGATGAGGATTGTCGAAAGGAAAGGAGTTCAGGACTCGACACAGGCACTGCAGGCTTAGTCATGGAAAAATGATGGTGGTTCCAACAAATTCAAAGGCAAGTTCGACAAGACTCATGGAAAGAAATCTTGGTCGAATCCCCATAAGAATAAGGTCGAAGATAGATCTTCTGAATCCTCGAAAAGGGGAGGAGGAAACTATCAAAAGGACAAAGAAGATAAGAAATATATGTAGTGTTATAACTGTGAAAAGTGGAGACACTTGACCATAAATTGTTGGTACAGAAAATACAATAGATCAAAAGGCAAGGACGAAGGAACGAACCTTGCACGCCAAGATTCAGATGATTCTGAAGGTGGTATGGTGGTTATGGTTGTAGTTGCAGATAACCATGTCGAATCCAAGATCTGGTTTCTCGACTCAGGCTGCTCGAACCATATGACTGGTCAAAAGGAGTGGTCGGCAGATTTTGACGAGTCGAAGAAGAGTAAGGTAAAACTTACTGATAATAGTTCGTTGCAAGCAGAAGGTACTGGCAACATAGTCTTTCAAATGAGTAATGGAGGGAAAGCTATGATCAAAGATATGCTCTATGTACCTGGATTGAAATGCAACTTGCTAAGTGTTGGATAACTAGTCGAAAAAGGTTTCTCAGTTATCATGAAATATGGAGTTTTGAAATTGTTTGACACCAAAAACAATTTGATCTTAAAATCTTCATTGTCGAAGAATAAGACATTTAAGACTATGATCAGTTCGACAGAAGTTCAATGTTTGAAAACTGTTGTCGACCACAAGGATAGTTGGTTGTGGCATTTGAGGTTTGGACATTTGAATTTTCAATCACTTAATCAACTGATTACTCAAGATATGGTTACTGGTATTCCAAACCTTGAGATGCCTGAAAAACTTTGTGAAGGTTGTTTAGTAGGAAAGCAATCCAGAAATTCTTTCGTTTCGACTATGTCAATAAGATCATCCTGCATTCTCGAAGTGGTGCATTCAGATGTATGTGGTCCATTCGAAGAACATACAATTGGTGGAAACAAATATTTTGTTTCGTTTGTCGATGAGTTTAGTCGAAAGTTATGGATCTATGTGATCAAATGAAAGGACGAAGTATTCGAAATCTTTAAGAGATTCAAGATACTTGTCGAAAACCATAGTGAGAAGAAGATCAAAGTTATGCAAACAGATGGAGATGGCGAATACACATGGAATATGTTTGAAGATTTATGTGTAGAACATGCTGTTGATCATGAGGTAACTTCTCCTTATACACCTCAACATAATGGAATTGCTGAAAGAAGAAACAAAACCATATTAGATATGGCGAGATGCATGCTGAAGCAAAATAATTTGCCAAAGTTTTTATGGGGATAAGCTGTTTCGACTGCAGTTTATATTTTGAATAGGTGTCCTACTAAGATATTGAAGAACAGTGTTCCTGAAGAAGTGTGGAGTGGAAAACGACCATCAGTAAGTCATTTGAAGGTGTTTGGCTCTATGTGTTACAAACATGTTCCTGATGTAAGGAGAAGGAAGCTAGATGACAAGAGTGAACCTATAATTCTAGTAGGATATCATAAAACTGGTGCATACAGACTATTCAATCCAGTTAATGAGAAGATTGTGTTGAGTCGAGATATTGTGATTAATAAAAATTCTGCCTGGGATTGGAATTCTAGCAACAAGCCATTAATGAATTTTGATTTCGAAGAATAAACTGATTAAGTAGAGGTCGAAGGAATTGTTGAGAATTCAGTCGAAGTCGAAGAAGAAGCAGTTGCTGACACTCTCGACACAGTCGAAGTCGAAGAGGTTGTGGTTGAAACAAGCCAAAGACCTCAAAGAAATAGAGTTCTTCCAACAAGACTTCATGATTATGAAGTGGCGGGTGATGATGAAATCACACCATATGGAGAATTAGTTCATTTTGCTTTACTTGCAGGTGCTGAACCAATCAACTATAGCGAAAATTTAAAGATTAACAAGTGGAAGTTAGCTATGGTCGAAGAGTTACAGGCAATCGAAAGAAACAACACATGGGAGTTAGTCAAATTGCCAGCACATACAAAAGCTATTGAAGTAAAGTGGGTGTTCAAGTTAAAACACAATGCAGATGGGTCCATAGAAAAACATAAAGCAAGATTAGTAGCTCGAGGTTTTCTTCAAAGAGTATAACTCGACTACTTTGAAGTATTTTTCTCCAGTAGCAAGATTAGAGACTGTTCGACTACTGGTAGCATTGGCATGCAACCAAGGTTGGTCGATATTCCATTTAGATGTGAAATCAACATTTCTGAATGGTCCTTTAGACGAAGAAGTTTATGTCACACAACCTCCTGGGTTTGTGATTCAGAAGGAAGCGAGTAAAGTATATAGATCGCACAAAACGCTCTATAGCCTCAAGCAGGCACCTAGGGCATGGAACAAGAAGATCGACTCATACTTAATCGAATTGGGATTTGTCAAATGCAAATCAGAGTATGGTGTCTATGTCCAGGTTGTAGCACAAGATATAACAATTATCTGCTTGTATGTTGATGACTTGCTAGTAATTGGAAATAGTTTGGAGAACTTATCAAAGTTCAAAGAGCCGATGACAAAGGAATTTGAAATATCGGATCTAGGAAAATTGTCTTATTTTCTAGGCATGGAATTTCAAATGTCGAAGCAAAGTATGGTGCTACATCAAAGAAAGTATGTCAAAGAGATACTCAAGAGATTCAGAATGGATGATTCGAATTCTGCATCCTCACCTGTCGAACCAAATGTGAAGTTGGAGAAGAATGGAGAGGAAGACAGAGTCGGTGCAACTTTGTTCAAGCAAATTGTGGGATCTCTGAGGTATGTGTGCAACAGTCGACCTGATATAGGTTTTGCAGTCGGATTAGTAAGCAGATATATGGGTGAACCAAGAGTGTCACATATGAAGGTTGCAAGAAGAATCCTGAGATATTTGAAGGGTTCAATAAATTATGGAATACTATTTCGATGAGATTCTGAAGGCAGAGAAACAATATTTAATTGTTTTTCAGATGCTGATTGGTGTGGAGATAAGGAAGATCGAAGAAGTATAACTGGATATTTCTTTCAAGTATTTGGTGCCCCAATCTCATGGTGTTCGAAGAAGTAACCTGCATGTCAAGCAATTTGGATCAGATATGTACTTGAAGAAATGACTGTCGAAGTGAAGAAACCTCTAATATTGCAAATCGACAACAATTCAGCCATAAATCTGGCAAAGAATCCAATTCTGCATGGAATAAGTAAGGTTTCACTTCTTGAGGGAAAAATTAAATCAAGGTGAACTTGAAGTTAAGCATTGCTCAAGTGAAGCATAATTGACCGACATTTTTACCAAATGATTGAAGATCGACAGATTCCTGAATTTGATAAAGAAATTAGGAATAGTTCAGATTGACTATTTTTGAGGATGTTCGACAACTTGGATTATGAGAGTGTGTTGAAATATTAAATTAGATTTGTTAAAATATTAAATTAGATTAGACTTGATTAGATTTAATATTTAAATATAATCTAAGTTGTGTTAACCTAAACCCAATTAGCGTTGTATATAAATAGTCATAGTGTGTATCATTATTTATACAATTCAATAATACAAATCCTTATTTTCTTTATTATTCTCTCTTTCTCTCCTCACTAAAACTGTCTCACGCACTAACACACCCTGTTGTACCCCAAAATTTTCCCTCCCATTTCTTCAACATTTTCTCACCACAAGACCCTTGGAGCTCAAGATCAAGTTAGGGTTTGCTCTGCTCAAGACTCCTCCTTGCACTGTTGACCCAAATTAGGGTTTGAGTTTGCACAAAGATGTTTTGACCTAAAAGGCCCAAAATGACTTTCATGCTTCATGTTGGACTCACAAGTTTATCCATACCAAGTTTCAAGCCTTGATTCCAATCTTTGCCCAGTCAATTGGACAATTGACCTAGAAATCAGCTGTATTGGGGAAAAAGTCAACTGTGGTCAATTGACAGTCAAACCTCATGA